TGTGTGTGTGTGTGTGTGTATGTATATATNTATATATATATCTATATATATATATATGTATATATATATATATATATATACTGTCCCATCCATAAAATGGGTCTTATAGTAAGTGTAGCCGTCTTCGGATGTTTTGTCAATTATATTTTTGACTTGTGACTCCATAACTGGGACATCAGAATCAAATGAGCGAGCGAATGATAATTCGGAGGTAGGGATACGGTGAGTGCCTAGATTGGTTGCGCTAGTACCATCAATATTATTCACTTCGTAAGTATCACTCTTCTCATCATGGTAGGAAATAACAAAAGGTCCTATCGTCTTAGAAGAGAGTTCGGTAACGTTGGCATTGCGATTTATGTTATTAACATAATCGCCAACTTTGAACTGAACAATGTTCTTAATGATATTCCATCGGTCATACGCTTTAAGTAGGACACCATTTTTGTGCAAGAGTAAACAAGGGTAAACATTGTTCTGCATATGCTTGATCTATTGTAGCCACGAAGTAACGTATTTTTCGGGCGCAGTTTTGTCAAACGTTGCTTGTAATTCACTATAGCGGGCCAAAGAAATAGTGGAACGAGAGTGTACCAGTTTGAGGATTCATGCAGTTATTCATTTGAGTCTTAACCTATTTCAAATGATAAGGCCACATACCTTCAACGTCATCTAGTGCGGTACACAATAGCTTATTTAGTTCTCTATGACGTGTCTCATTTGCACCCTGCGTTTGAGGTTTATAAGGAACACCACGCATATGGGTCATGCCTGATACGAGTATAGGTGCCTCCATTACGTCGGTACAAAAGTCACAACCGTTGCCAGAACATAGTACTCGGGGGAAACCGAAGTCATTAAAGACGTGATAGCATAAATCTGCCACTGTTTGCGGGCGTTTGTTCGGTATTGTATAAAGCAAGTTGTAGCCTGAAGACACACATAAGAAATGACAGATATATACATCGCCAGTATGCTTGGATCGCGGGAGTTTAACCAAATTGACTATGACTCGGCGCATCGGTTGGTCTTCTGTCACACTTTTTAGAGATGCCCAACCGTAGCGTTTGATCTGGTTCTTTTCACAATCAGTACAGCGTCGGTATACTTCACGTATGGTTAATTTCAGCGCGGGGTGATCAAGCCCTGCACAAATGGCCATCTTATAAGTGTGCTCATAAGGTTGATGAGTTAAATTATGTATTATTTTAACTCTATTCTCGAGCTCTTCTAAGTCAGTCAGATTCTGTGTAACACTGGCTAGATGAACCATAGTCCCGTTAGAAAGGGCAACTTCAGCATCAGGAGGGGCAGACTCCTGAGATACGTATTTAACATCATTATATTGTTGAAATATCTTCTTCAGTTGTTTCGCAACTCCTGGCTGTTCTTTAAGCAGCGCTTTAAGTAGTTGAGTGCGAGCTTCAGGTTCTCTTCGAGCTTTGAGTCTTTGATCCATGGCCTTAGCGAGTTTCATGTTTTTACAATCTAATGGCGTCTCAACCGGCATTCCCTCGACTTCATTCTTGTTGGGTGCATGTGTTGTACGAGTCTCGAGCTTTGTTTCATACTCCTTAGACTCCTCTAGTTTAGCTAAGAACTCGGTTGAGGATTTCCACTTAGTGGTACCTGCAGGACCGATGCGACAAACGATGGTGTGTTTCCAAGGTGTCTTCTTACCATGGGTTATGGTAGATTTAGTAATATTAACATAATTAAACAACTGAGATAGAATATTAATCTTACACATGTCCAATATCAATTCAACGCAAGTGCGGCTTTGAGAATCACGGAATGCAAATGTACAGTCAATCGTAAAACGTTGAAATGTACTAAATGTAACCATGATGAATACAACGCAGAAGTCAGTCTCAAGTGTATGAAATATTTGGGTTTTCAGTTCTGCCTATAGTGCTGATAAAACACATGACCGCGGTAAACCTTACTAAATGATACAAGTAAAGAAGTTTATAGGCACCACAGACGTCTACTTGCGACATACACATCCGTCGCGTACTCCATTCATCCTATCACAACACGACATGCGCACACTACCACGTACAAGCCCATCGACAGCTGAATGGATGCTACACAAAGATCTTTTCCCCGTAGGCATGTGGTCAAAATTGAGGAGCGCTTAGGACAGAGTGTTAAGTCTGAATAAGTGAACTCAGTCGGCAGTGCCACCGGGAATGACACGCTTGCTGTTTTTATTCATCACGTCCCTATGTGTTACGAAATTGTCTATATCATCGGGTAATGTGAAAATACCCATATCTATGATTTTGGTCTCTTAGGACTAAGTCATCACTTCTCTTTGATTAGATCCTATGTTCCACAATCTGTTCCGGTTCTCTGGCCCGGTCCTAAATTAATATACTGGGTCCGGTCCTCTGGTCCGGTCCTCAAATCCTCTCTTAAGTTCGGTCCTCTGGTCGGATCCTAGATATCCGCCTAGTTTACTTAGTCCACAGACGTTTTTGATGATATGCATATATTTGCAACCAAATATAACCATCAAGTCCCCGACAACTTTTGCAGTCTCAAGGAAAGGGCACCACTATATGAGTCATAATGTCGACGCAAGCATCTCTACGTCAATATCCCATTCGATGACACTTCCTGGACGAAAAATGATGTGAATGACGTATGTACTTATCCTAGTATTTTCCCTATCACCAAGCAGTCAAAATCATATACAAACATCACGTCAACTTCACTGTCGTGTGGATCATCTAGATAACTCACAATACCATTCTACGCGAGGCAACCGAAGCAGTAGGCTTTCCACCCTGGAAGTACATCTCTATCGCATTTGTCGGCAACATTCAATACGCCATTCTACCAACCGTTGTCCTACTCTGCGTCCAAGCCGATACATTGCCATCTCATTTTAAAGCCTCCGCGTTCTGTACACGGTGTGCTACCGGAGAAAATATGTAAACTTCAGTGGATATTACAAGTTTCAACAATACTTAAATAGACTAAGGTACAATTTAAATCAGTTAGGATTTAGCACTTGTAGCTTGTGTAAGATTGGTCGGGAGTGCCTTTTGATATGAGTCTTAATATTCTCGATCACACAGGACGTACTCCTAGCTGTTCTTTATTGAATAATTTTCACTAGAAATACTAGGTGTTCATGACCACATGTCTAAGGTGTAGATAGACGTAAGAATATATGTCATGTTAAAACATTGCAAAGTTCCATCTGAAGAAAAGAAGAAGAAAATGAAAAAGAACTTATTGGATTCTTGAGATTGGTGGGAGGTTTATTATATTATATCCTACTTCTATTAAAGTGACAATAAACTCCAAGTAAATGAATCATAGGGATAATATTATTTATTTCAAAAATAGCAAGTATGTATGTATGATACAATGTATAACATATGGTATGGCTCTCATAGTCGCTGTAGTGGTTCAGGAAAGATTGATGGGAAGAAGTGGTCAGTAAATTCCCGTTTGAAGCTTGGGCCAAGTGAGTCGACAATGGAAGATATGTGCTGAGTCAATTCGGGCCGGTGTTGACAAAACACTGATACTATCGAATGTTACATATATTCGCTTGCTGACCTACTAAGTAGAGTACCCACCTCTGTGGTACGGATCGGGTCTGCGCCGTGTAGTGCCGCGGAGTGGGTTAGTGCAGAGTACGAAATACCGAGAAGCACCAGGTTATCCGTCATATTCCGGTCGAGAAGCGAGGATGGGGGTAAGCCAATGCCGCACCAGACCACGGATGAATTCGGTATGTGTTGGCTGGCCTGGATCGGAAGTATCATAGTTGGAACCAACAAGCGCGATGATTTGGTTTAAACCGATATTTGGAAGTAGTACTCCAATAGCGTGATTAGCCGTGGTATGGGGAACATCTGTTGATGTGTCAGGGATGGGTGAGGGTACGGTGGTTCTTCAACATGCTGGAGAAAAGATCCAAGGTGTTCGTGGAGGGTCCAGATACCGTGGAAGTCGTGGCACTCCTGTAATTGCTGAAGGAGGTCAGGGCCAATGGGCGGCAGTTTCGGGCCTACCAGGATGAGTCGAATCAGTTGTTGGATGCAGGTAAAGTGGCTGGTAGTGAACTTGTGGCTACCGGGGCAGACAGGGCAGAGACAGCCGTCGGTGCGGTAGTCGAGCAATGTGAACATGTACATATTCGTTACAATCATAGCACAGAGCC